AACCCTGTTGACCCACAGTCTGTGTTACTTGGCCACAGGTAAGCTGATGTAAAAAAATTAATAAATAGAGATACAATCAGCAAACATTTGTCTTTGCAAAGGTTCCTGTGTGAAGCAAATACTTCCAGCAAGAAAAATATAGTTTTCCCTTCAGCTCATTTTGCAGTATAAAACTTGCTGAAAAATAAGAGTTATACCTCCTAGTTTAATTACTCCAACAAAACAACAACAACAAAAAAAAAAAAAAAAAAAAAAAAAAAAATGTAAAGTTTCAGATGTTAAATTAAGTCCAAAGTGGAATTTTTTTAACGTTTTGTGTGTTAGTTTTATTTATTAAATATCATGTTCTTTGCACTTAAACCATAAAATTCAAATCAATAGCAATGTCACAAAATAATTTTAAAATGAGCATATCTTTAGAATTTTCTGCAGTTGTGTGCAGTAAAATGCAATTCAGATTTCTATTGATTCACAGTTCTGCATGCTGGTGATAAAAAGCCCCCTATCCCCGTAGAGTGTTGCTATTGCTTGCTTTTAAATCTTTGAGTTTGTTACATAAAAATTCATTAAAGTTTTACAAAATATGAAATCAATAATAAAACAAATTTCAAATTTGGTCTTCCACATGCCCATATTCGTAGGAAGATTGCGTCATTCAAAATTCGATGGCTCTAGTTACCGATGTTTTATCACAATGCGAGAACTATATATACATTTACGCAGATTTTTTTATTATTGAATAAGTTGCAGAGTCATTAGGGTTATTTTGAAACAGGAGACCTGAGAAACGTGCAATGCCGTCATTAAGACTTGAACCCAGACCTCTGGAATATGCACTGTGCTACCATTAAGCCACGAAGGCATGTTGGAAAGAGGGAGAAAATGTCTTATGTGCACCCCCTTTCAAAGGGCGACTGGGATTAAGGGACTCATTCGTCAAATAATAGTGGTGACGACTTATTGTTCACTACCTTTTAGTTCAGGCACTACCATAGAGTCCTGAGGGTTTTTGATGCTGGAATGTGAAAAATGAGGAATGCCTTCACTGGGACTTGAACTTAGACCTTCTGAATACTTGCCAAATGTGCTACAATTACACAGTGAAAGCATGCTGGAAGGAGGGAGAAAATACCTTATAAGAACTGCAAATTTAATTTTACCAGCAGCCAACAGCACATCTGTTGTCCTACAATAGAAAGGATAAAAAAAAGGTAAAAACCTCACTGTCTTCTTATCAAAATTTAAAATAATGAAAAAATAAAAAGGAGGTTTCCATTTCAGGACATGGAAGTTAGTTTTTTTCTAGACAGATGGACATTAATATTTTCAATAAGAAAACATTCATCATTAGGTTATTTTGAATGTAGAAAAAATCTTTCTAGATAAAAGAAATGCATCTGGTTATTTCAATAAGAAGTAGTAAAGTATATTGACTCACTTTAAATTCTTTTTATTGGCAGTATTTTTCTTCAAAACCTGAACTTTTTTATAGCAGTTAAGGCTAAAACACATTTAGTCCTGGTTACAGATATATCTTTCCATAGAAAATTATTTGGTACATATTTCCCTGCAACAAAAAAGACTTAACATTGCACCTTTCAGAAAAATCTAAAATAGTTTCCAGCATTACTGCAGTGTTGTTAGAAAAGCAAAACCTTGGGTCCTATGAATGCAGTGTATCATTAGCTACTGGCTGCTATCCGAGTAGATTAAGCGGGTAGTTTTTTTATTTCCATCTTTAACATTATTGAAAACACATCTGTGTATCCCAAAAATATAGTCCTTTCTACTTATCTGCCCAATGGTAAAATTAATTCACCAGTGTCAAGTTAAACAGCCTATAATATCACAAAAAGATGTGAGAACTGAGATATTCAGCACATAAATGCAGGTTTTGGCTTTTTAATTTGTATAGTAATTTTTTTCGTTAATGCTTACTCTGTGTAGTTGGGTTGACACATTTTTTTTCTTCTAAGGAATAGTAAAGGGACTGTGAAGTTTGCAGGCAGATGAAATTAAAAAGTTGCATTTCTTCAGAAATGTGGCAGTTTGCCTGATATTAGAGAATGCAAAAATTCACATTCTGTTAAGATGTATTTTGTAAACAATCGAATTTATCCTCTGATGCTGAAATTTGTTCAGGTCCCGATTGTTTTCAAGTGAAAAAACATCACTGAACACGGAAAATCAGCAGTGCGTGCATTGCGAAATTTGTTCAATGGTCTGATTTTTTCTTCGTGAAACCATATTACTATGCACCGGTGAGCAGCAGTGTGATTTCCATGCTGATTTCTGTGTAGTGCAAAATTTCTCCAGTTGTGGGCAATACAAATTTTTGTTGTTTTTTTAAGCAGATCATTGTGTATATAATGAAGGAACAGAAAATATATATATATATATATGTCTAATTGTTAGGGATGTTTCTTGCATTTTTAATTTTGTTAATTGGTTGTATTAGTAATGCTTAGTGTGCTGCTAATTTTAAAAATGGCAGTTGTTGTCTTTTGCATCTCAAGTTGGGGGAATCAGTTGGGTGGAATCAGAAAAATACCACAAATTTTAGCACATTCAAATCAAATTTAAATATTGTGTTAGTTTTTGTCATATAAAGATAAAAATCTCAACAGAACTAAGTAAACAGAGACTTCTGTGTAACTGAAAATTTGTCTCGGGTGTTTATATAGGGCTGCAGAATTAAAAATTTTTCTTGTTACTTAAAAAAAATTTTGTGTAATATTGTTTTCATTTTTCCAGTGTCAATCAAATGAAAATATTTTAAATAAGCTTTGCCTTAGTAGATAACGTTTGCCATATTACTCTTGTATTTTTCCACTTTTTCTCTAATTTTATTGAAATTTCTGCATTTAATTAGGAAGGATGCGGTTGCAGTAAGAACATAACAAATGAAACATATACATGGATAGATTATCAGTAACTCTCAGTTTTATTTATTAAAAAAAACTGCCTTTGAGTTAGGCTACATAGTAATATTGTATAGTCATATTTATTTATCTGAATCCTGACTCTTATCCACTCTCATTGTTGTCCTCTACTCTCTCTACATCTCAAATCATGTAATACTGCTGATATTGCTGTCTGTGTTGTCGCCTTCAGCTTTTAGGTCATCACCGTTCAGTCTGCCTTCCCACACGGAGTTATCTTCAGATTCGTAAGGACCATTATTTATCACCATTTTCTTGAAGGTCTTCTGTATTATTGTTTCATGAATAAGAGTCCAGTTACAAGCAAATCATTTATTAAAAAGAAATGAACCACTATGTACAGAAATTACTTTTAAAATTTAGAAGCACTTGCTTTCCTTGAAGAAATTGAAATTTGCATGGATACTTAAAAAATTTTTGGTACCTTGTGCTAAAATGCTTATGAGAGTCATTTGAAAAATGAGTTATATAGTTAAGGAGCTAATATAGTTAAGGAGACACAATTGCAGTATTAATGTAGAAACCTATCTTTTATTTTTGTTTATCTTGTGCATAAATGTATTAAGTTTATTATAATTTAAATTATAATAAACTAAGTGTACTTACAATGCTGAACTGTGCATTATAATTTATCAATGTATTATACTGTAAAAAGTTATTAGTTTAATTATTAACGAGAATTTTTATATAGCAAAAGAATTATGCATATAATTCATCTGAATAATTTGTCTTTTTCAGCATTCATCTAAAGGTGATACTTAACGTACCCTAAACTGGCAAACTCTGAGCATGAGTTTAAACAAAGCCTGAAACTGAACTGAATGGATAAACTGATTCCCAGCCTGAGCTGGAACATGTGTACTTGGTGGCTCCATTAATGTAATCTGAACATGTGCGTTTGAATGTTTATTTGACCAGGAAAACAAAAAACTTGTTGATATGAAATATGATCAGCCAGAGACTTGAAAGTTATCAGGAGGTATTTTGTTGATATTGCATGCTGAGCAATATGGCACAAAATTCAACGGAGGATTTTAGATGTTTCAAAAGTGTACAGATATGCTATTTTATATGATAAAAAAACTAAAAAGTTCTCAAACTAAAAATAGTATTCTTGTTATTTGTAATTTGCTGGAGAGATCAAAAGCAAGTTTATGTAAATTTAGTTCATAATTGTCATTGATAGGTGTATGTCAAGATATCAGTTTACTAGGTCATAATTAATGCTATGTGATCTATATATATATATATATATATATATATATTTATGTAAGTATATGGAGAATGTTATTTGTATAAATACAGCAATAAGAATATGTGATATAATAATATGTGATATAGAATATTTGTAATACATATAGTGAGTTTATCAGCAATAAGAATATGTGATATGTAAATTAAATATCCAATTTATAATTTCAACATGAATTAAATACTTACGTATATGATTTCTAAAAAAAAAAAAAAAAAAAAAAGAGAATATTCTTACATTTAATTAATTACAATTCGGGCAATATTTAAAATGGTATTCATTGCATTTATTATATATTCTTTTTCAGCTGTTATTCCTCTTGCTTATTCTAATTGTTTTTAATGTCTTTAGAAAATCATATGCTTAATTTCCACCCACATTAATCTATGATTTCACTAAATGCAGTTGAAATATATTTTTTCACACTTTGAAACTTAATAAATCTTAATTATAATTATTCAATGCTACAGGATTTCAATGCAAAATTCTAACTCATTGTGATAGCTAAGAAATTTGTTCAATGTGAAATTCATTGTGATATTTGGAAGAGTTCCAAATTAAAAAAAAAAATAATTAAAAATATATGGATAATTTCTATGTGCATAATTTCTTGACTTTAATCATTGGTTTATTTAACCATTTGATCGTTATCAGTTTATTAGTAACCATTATAAGGTTTAACCATTCGATCACCTAATGAATGGGAAATGAGTTTATAACCGAAAAAAATATATATTTTTTAAATTTTTTTGAATATGAACCTATTGTTTTCAATGCTCTCTGCATTTGACCTCAATATTTTAAAGTTTTTTTTTTTTTTTTCTTTTTTCTTTTTTTTTTCTGTCTGTTAAAAAATAAAATTTTTCCTCTCTGATTAAGGGGATGCTAGACGCAGTTACACAGGAAAAGATTAGATGTGATAATATGTTTTGTTCAGAGTGAGTGCTTGAGTACTTATGCATTGATGTCATTGCAAATAAAAGGGATGAATTAATAACAATTTTCACTTGAATTTTTTATTTGCTTTTTTAATAAATGTTGTTGATTATTTTAAATCAGAAACAGGATTTTCCAGTTAAAATACAGAAGAAACATGAACAGAACATCCATCATGACCTCAAAGTGTGCTCATTTGAATTCATGTGGAATGGGTAACAACATGAGGCTAACATGGGTTGCAACATGAGGCTAACATGGGTTGCAACATGAGGCTAACATGCATGTTTCTTGCTAACAAAATCAGCAGTTTTATGCTTCTTGTGTAATGTGAAATTAAAGGCTAAAAGTTCGAGCTAAAAATATTTTAATAGTTTCTTTTTTCTTTTTATCAAACACTGCATTTAACCACATCATTTTAAATTCTAGTTTTACATTAATTTATTAAAAAATGATACAGAGTAAAAAAGTGGTCAAACAAAATTTTTTTCCATATCGAATTTCTGGATTGAAAATTAGATATCTTCTAAATTGCATTATATAAAATACATATAACTTAATGCTTTGTCGAAATTCAAATGTTTTCAGATATTACAGGGCAGTTTTCAAATTACAGAGCTGTTGGTGACTCATGGTGAGGTTTGAAAAGCATGAGATGACGCCAATCAGAGCAGGCTGTTGTTCCTAAGTTACTGAAGAAATATTTTGAAAAATAGAGAAAATTAATTTTCTTCTGTGAAAAAATTCTTGTCTTTTGAATCTAGAAATATTTCATGAAAGAATTTTTATAAACATAATGTATAGAAATGAAGTAAACAGTTTCTATTTCCCTTATAAAACTGGTATTTTTGTTTAAAAAATATTTGTCATAATAACTTCCATTGATTTAAGAATACCAGGATTTTGATATTAGATTAGAATTAGTGCATTCAATCAATTTTAAATGAGGTCTATTAAATATTAATGAGAGTTATTCTAATCTTAAAAGAATTTCTAGAATGATGAATCTGTGTGGAATTAATGTATTCTTCTCGTGTTGCGGCAAGCATGTTAGTTCGACTAACTGCAAATTGAACTGATTGGACATTTTTTTATTCATAGTTGAGGAAAAAAACAAACTTAACTTATGCAGCATAAACTAAACTACATCAGACAAAAAAAAAAAAAAAAAAAAAAAAAAAGGCCCTTGAGAGGAAAAGGAAGAGAAGTAGAAAATATCTTTATATGTTATAGCATCCATTAATAATTTAAAATTGATGTTTCTGCATATTTGAAGAATTTGTTTGGGTTTTAGAAACATCCTGTTGGGTATACATTCCAATTGTTTCTGCAAGAAGTGATATTTCTGATTTATTTGCACTATTATCATAATAGAATCATTTGAAATCATTTTAACCTGAAATTAACAGCAGATAATTATCTAAAAAAATGGTAATATCTTGCATTTTTTTAAATAAAAGTTTTAAATAGATTCTTTTCGCAACCAACAACCTTATATCAACAAGAAAAATAAATATTAATAAAATAAAACATATTTATGGGAATTCAATGATTTCAGTTTTGCGCGTTTCATATTTATGAATCTCTAAGAAATTGCCTTGAATTAAGCTGAATTACAGAAGTATACATATATAAATTTTTGGATATATCTTTCCACATGTTCAATTGTGTAAATATTTTACTTACGTTCATCGCTATACTGCCCAGAAATTTGTAAGTTTATGCAAAAACATTTTAACAACAGAAGAGTTTATCTTGATCAAATGCACAAATTATATTCGTAACAGTTCACGAAACTTAAAAATGAATAATAATTAATACATAAAGAAAAGCATTGCTTTATTTAACACCTTTACAATTCATAAAAATAGTAACAACTGATTTCTTACTTTTCATGAAAATTATAAAACGAATTATCTAAAACGTTCAAATTGTACAGTTTAAATCCTAGCATATATCAATGTATGTTACGGAACGAAGATGCCAGCTATAAACAGAAACATTAAAATATATTTAACATATTTTGATTATTATTAAGTCCCTTTTTTGTGTGTATGGATGTGTCAAAAACCGGGGGGTACCTCCTCTGATTAGGAATGTAACGTAAAATAAACAAAATTAACATAAATTTGGAATATATAGATACCCTAGCATAATTTTGTAAATGAGCTTATAAAAGAGATTTAGTGTGTAACTTCTATAATATATCATATAATTTTGAGCATCACTAGGAAGACAAGGCATGCTAATATAAGGAAAACCTTACCGGTAAATACCTATACAAACTGTTTTTTTTATTTTGTGATCTCCGGTTGTTGTTTGAAGGATAATTTAGTATGACTGGTTTCTGAGTCGTTGAAGCTGTTTCAGCACTTTGTATTGCAGCAATCAAGAACCTGTAAATAAGTTCGTCCTTGGTTTCGATATCAGATCTATGAAATCCACTGTTGTAAGGTATAACAGCCAACAGTAATCGGGGTAGAAACTTCACTGCGCGAAAATTGTCTTTTGCGCGCAAAAGACAATCCTAAAAAGGAAAAAAGTATATTTACTCCAGGAGATATGACTTTATTGCAAAAATTTACGTTTTTTTCCGGAGCGCTACAAAAGTGCGACCGCCTGTGTCGGTGATCGCAGCGCCCTCCCTAAACTACATCATAGCCACATGGTTATCAGTATATATATCAGGTTACAGTTAGGAAAACCCACAAAATCACAGTTACATATAAAAATTTAGAAGACACACAAATAATACAAAAGAAATCTGAAAATTACCACACTTGGTCTAAAAATATGAATATATACTATTACAGTTATTTAGCAGTGAACAAACAATTATTCCATTTTTCTTTCTTAATTTAAATTAATTTTCATCAATTCCTTATCTATCACCGGGCCACTGAAATACAACTTCCAAATCCAATATATTGACTGGTGCAACCATCTAGTGGCATTTGGCCAAGTTAATATTTATGTGCCAACAAGCACATCTGGTAAGTTAACGGTAAGCACGTTGAACCCGTTAATGGAAAGTCGTACATTTCACTCTTGATAGGGCATTTTCAGTTTCTATAGAAGAACCACAAAATTTGTTTCAATTTCCGAGATTCTCCGAAAATTAAAATGTAAAGAATATTGTGCCTCTTTTAGGCATTCGAAGCAGTATCATGCTGACACATTTTAATCTAATGAATTTTGAAAATTACAGCAAACATAAATACTTCGTTGTACCCATTTTTACTTGTTTGTACGAAGTAAAGGAAGTACTGTAATCAAGAAAAACTTCGGGTATGATACTTCAACGAAAATATCTATTTTGACCTCTATCGAATGCAATTTAACGATGTTTTTGCTTAACATTACGTGAGGACAGGATAAAGGACTAAATTATAAAACATTTAAAATTGTTCAGAAGAGATTTTGTCGTGTCCTCTGTATGTACGGACGTCTGTATGAATTTAAGATGATACAATATATATATATATATATATATATATATATACCTACTGTGTTACTCTATGAGCTCAATTTTTTATTCTTATATGTTGGTAAATTGCGCAATTTATATTTTAAAAATAATTGAATTATTTTGTTCTTATCTTTCGATTAACGTTTATATGCCTTTAGTTAATCTGCATGGAATAGTTGTAGAATTATCAACAATTTAAAAGTTGTTTAATTGCTGCTAAGCCTAATTTTTCTTACCATTGGAGCCATATTTTTTAAAATTTCAACCTTAGCAGAACCAAGGAGGTTAGAAAAGAAGGAGGGAGGTTTCGCAGTTTCCTCCACACTTCTTCCTTCCGAAGAAGCGGCGTCCGTTTTTGTAACTTCAAAACATTGCGATACGGCAGTGAAACATACTTGTTTCTAAGGTGTTCCGTGCATGTATTTTCCAGTAAAAATATGTTAAATTTATAATGACATGCTTTGCTATTGCTAGTTTTTTGTTTTAAAGTTACAAAGATGATATCCGTAATTTACTACGTACAGAAAATTATTAAGAAATAAGTTGAAATCTAAATGCATGTGCGTAACATTAAAGCCTTTAAAATTGATTTTTCTGCATATTTCAAGAATTTGTTTGGGTTTTAGAAACATCCTGTTGGGTATACATTCCAATTGTTTCTGCAAGAAGTGATATTTCTGATTTATTTGCACTATTATCATAATTTATTAAAGAATCATTTGAAATCATTTTAACCTGAAATTAACAGCAGATAATTATCTAAAAAAATGGTAATATCTTGCATTTTTTTTTAAATAAAAGTTTTAAATAGATTCTTTTCGCAACCAACAACCTTATATCAACAAGAAAATAAATATTAATAAAATAAAACATATTTATGGGAATTCAATGATTTCAGTTTATGCGCATTTCATATTTATGAATCTCTAAGAAATTGCCTTGAATTAAGCTGAATTACAGAAGTATACATATATAAATTTTTGGATATATCTTTCCACATGTTCAATTGTGTAAATATTTTACTTACGTTCATCGCTATACTGCCCAGAAATTTGTAAGTTTATGCAAAAACATTTTAACAACAGAAGAGTTTATCTTGATCAAATGCACAAATTATATTCGTAACAGTTCACAAAACTTAAAAATGAATAATAATTAACACATAAAGAAAGGCATTGCTTTATTTAACACCTTTACAATTCATAAAAATAGTAACAACTGATTTCTTACTTTTCATGAAAATTATAAAACGAATTATCTAAAACGTTCAAATTGTACAGTTTAAATCCTAGCATATATCAATGTATGTTACGGAACGAAGATGCCAGCTATAAACAGAAACATTAAAATATATTTAACATATTTTGATTATTATTAAGTCCCTTTTTTCACATCTGGAAAGAAAACAACATGACGTGATATTTTTTAACATAGTTATCAAATTACATAAAAAAAAGAAAGTCAATACTTACGAGTGAAAAGTAATCCCAGGAATCGTTTTCGAAAATCTATTTGTGCATCCATATGCAACATAAGCTGACATGCTTCGAAAAAGAAAAGGGGGAAAAAATGTTACAATTACAGACTTACATGTCTACAACAAGTCACAGCGATAATAGTAACATGGCCGCCAAGCTTCACCGTTTGAGTTCCCTCAGGAAATCACAATCTTGCACAGATCCATTGTATATTTCCTGAACATAGGTGTTATATTCTGCAAGAAGTCCTAACTTCTTGTCGACCAAAAAGTGCATTAGCATTATATAGTAAACAAACTGAAAATGACTGAGAATGCATTTCTGTAAGAAAAGATGCTTAAAAGATGATTGCACTTCATGGTTACTTAAGTTTGCCATTGAAAAGCCCAGCGTATTGCTCAATTCCTAGACGAAAAAGAAAAATGGAAAATAATCACCGCGAATGTTATATGTCATAAATGTTACATTTTATTTTTATGTTACCTTGACAGTGTAACTTATGAGTTGACAAAAATATCGCGCTAGAATAAATTCTACTCAGTTTTATTTTTGCCGTCAAACAAATGTTGCTTACTTATAATTAGTAAAGAAACAGCCTTGTATTTGCCGTGGATTTAAACAAAATCAATTTCGAGGGCATCAGGTCCCTCTTCATGAGGAGCAAAGAAATTTGCAAGACTGGAAAGAATCGGACGGCAACGTCCTATTTATACCCTACTAGTGGAAGTACTCGATGCCAGTAAAGTTAGATTGAGAGTAATGCATCTAACAACAGAGAGAACGATATAGCTGTAATCCTTCTCTAATTATTGATATTTGATGTAAGAAAATCGGATTAGGGTGTTTTCTTCTGTTATGAGGTATTTTTATTAAAAGAAGACAATTCACTTAATGCATTTTTATTGTAAAGCTGTGCCATATACAATATTTCGAGTTTCACCACCAGGAGAGAAATGTACAAATTCTTTCCGGTTCCTACTCTTGAACATGCTACGTGCAATCGACCACGTGAAAAGCATGGAGTTCCCAGATGAATACCAGCAACTTTAAGGCACTGACCTTGAGCTTTATTGATAGACACTGCAAAAGCAAGACGCACTGGAAACTGAAGATGCTTGAATTCAAACGGCAGATCATAAAGAACCTTGGAAATTCGTTGTATGAAAATGTCTTCTACTTTCGCGCAGCCTGTTAAGATACCTGCTTCAATCACATGGAGTATTAGACTAAGCCATGTACCATTAGAAAGTCTTGGTGCATCTAAATTTCTTAGAAGTATTATCGGAGAACCAACCTCGAATACCAGACTGTGTACTGAGTTCCAAGAGGTTCTAGCGAGTTGAGAAATTCGGTAAGATATTGTACTGCTTGGTCAATGTCCACAACCATATCGAGTGAGTTGTATGATACATCTACTCCAGGTAACTGTCGTAACTACAAGTAACTGTAAGTTAATCATATCCACGCTTTCATTTTTCGGAGCAAGGATAGCACGTTCACATAGCCATTTGTGGTCATTGAAATAGCTTCGAATATCTCGAAATAGACTGTTTTTGAGAGTGCATCCACTATATTAGAAAAAATATTTGGTATTGTAAAAAGTCCATTAGTCAGATCAGCAACTATTTTTCCGTCTCTAAGACTAAGTAGTTGTTGAGCAAATTGGTCTGTTCTAGTTAAAGACCCTAATTCAATTCCATCTTTGCCTTCAACCTTTAAAGAAATTATGTTTTAGTTCTGGTTTCATCAACAGATGGCGCCAGTAGCTGATTTCCTGTCCAGGCTTTCTTATCTTTCCTAATCATTATATCTTATTTCGTTCATTTGCGCTTTTGCAGCTGAGGATGATGGTTCGGTAAAACCATCGAAACTAGTCCAGCGAAAATTTGAATATATAACGCTGATTTTTGTTGTTTGACTTCTAAATTAATATTTGTTCGGGGTATTGTTGTATCTTAATTATCAAGTATTCATATTTTATTAGATAAATATACCTTACATTAATATATTTAGATGAAATAAAGTAATGAAACATTGCAAAATAAATCTTATGCGGACTTCAGATTCTTCAAAGGACAGATTTAGTCTCTTTTCATTCTAAAAGTAACGCTGATGAACTATGAACTAAGATGAACTANAAAGATGCTAAAACGACCACGTCTAAAAGCGGCCATATCACGACCTTTCAGTGACGTCGACAAATTGCCAAGATGCAACGGCAAATATTTTGCGTTGTAAAGACGTCTTAAAAGTTACCATTACCACTTTGCAACCTCTTGGACCAGTTTGCAACGTCGTGTGGTACTTGGGTGCAGTGGCGCTGCGATGAGGAAGTGGGTTCTATATAAGCCAGCTCATAGATGATGATTCAGAAAACGTGACGATCACATTCCGACTGAAGAAGGATTTTAGTAAACGAATAATGTCAGGTAGACGTGGAAGAAGATATTTCTAACAGTTAAGCGAGTTTGAGAGGGATCTGATCATCGGCATGAAAACCGCCGGCTTGCTCCTTCGTCTTTGTTCCTCAGGTCGATTGTTTGGAGTGACGCGTCAGAACATATTGGGAGGTGGTACCCACATGCGAAGAATCTTTAGCAACCAGAAAGACGACGAGGCGAGAGGATCGTGTGGCAAGCGTTCATGTGACCACAGAGTTAATTTGCATACAATTAGGCTTAGGGGTGGCAGATGTTCCACAAACCATTTCCAAACGCCTTGCGGAAGCTAATCTGTAATGGAAGCACATTTTTCGTGTACTGCATTTAACACCGAAACATCGGCGATTCTCTACAATGGTGCCAAGCCAAAACTACGTGCAATGCCACAGTTTGGCAAAACATGGTGTTTAGTGAAGAATCCGGCTTCGTTTTGGAGGCAGACGATAACCGCGTACGGTTGTGGAGGCGCCCTCTTGAATCGCAGAATTCCAACGACGCTGTTTAGCGGCAAACTGGCCGCAGAGCATGCATAACGGTTTGAGGGGCAGAGCTTACGTCATGTGCTACTTGGGATACTGTCGCAAGGTACATGAATCATGTTTTTCACGAATATCTGAAATAGAAGGAGATCTTGTTGACTATCTGGTAGTTCTGTACTAATAACGCTGTCTATTTCATCTGGTTTCATTTTGTCTGTCAACTATATCAATATACGAGTATGAGGTATACCTTTCTTTTGCCATTCAATACAATACATCCCATCTTACTGGTCCGAATACACGGCTTTTGGTGATAATATTCATCAATTTTATGGGCTTTAGCCTGAATATTCTTGCCAGCAGTTCATGACGATTGGACGGATTTTGATCATCTAATAATTCTTGAAATTTTTCTCATGTTGAATTGCAGGTGAATGTCACAAATAAATCATGTCTTCCGCAGTTTCTCACGTATGTCTTAACATCTTGTGTATACTTCTGTATGTGGCGAGGACTTCCAGCGAATGTAGATGGCAGTATTACTAACCGACCGAGGCTATCAGCGTTGCCATGATTAGCTATTCCGACTCTTAAATGAATGTATTCGTCTACTCTAAGTTTCTTTAAGTCTTATAAACCGTAACAGCTCACTTTCAATTTTGGGGTACATATTAAGGATAAATTGATGGGAAATTTGACGACATCTTAAGATATGATTTATGGAACGTTCGGGGAGGAATTTAGAGCGTTGAAATTCGGCGCTTAAAGTCATCCCACACATGCTCAATCGGATTTAATTCGGGTGAGTAAAGTGACCAATCCGTTCGTGTGACACATATCTTCTATTTGCAAGCATTCTGACACCACATATGCTCTGTGAGGCCGAGCATTGCCATCCCTTAGCAAAAACTCTAGCCAACAGCACCCTAAGTAACCTAACTTGGTGTTCCAATACCTCGTCCACATATCTCTGAAAAACCTCCGAAAAACATCTTTGAAAATATGCAGGTCTGTGCGGTCATTTATTATGATTTATCCCCAAACCATTTAACGGCGGTGGAGGAAACGAGACATTTCACGGACAAGATGAGAAGTTGCATGTTGTCTCATCTCTCCAGATCCAAATACGTCTAGAATCGCTATTTTTGGAACAAGGTAAGCAATTTTGTTTTAAATTGATAAATTAGTTGAAGTGTGAATAAACACTAAATAATAATAATAACTCGTCAGCAAAAAATACTTGGATCCAGTCGTTGTGACTGCAATGACGAAGCCACGAGTTTAAACGGGAACCTGCACAAGCTGGAGTGAGTGGGACACGAACCATTGGTTTTCTCGTATACTGTCAACCACGTTCAGCTTTCGTGCAGCAACTGAACGGCTAATTCGAGTTCCTGTAACGGCCTGAAGTTTTAAAACCAAATCGCTTAGTCGATTCGCGGTTTCTTCGAGTCGACAAGGATAGAAAACGGTCTTCTGAAACATTTGTTGCTCTTGGTCGCCCTTGACCAGGCTGTCAATCAACTGATCCAACGTTTAAAAAGTGGCTAGAAACTCTTGATATGAGGCTCTGAGAGATATTAAAATCTTGCGCGACCTCAATTTGTGTTTATCTCCCTCGATTTCATCAACTGTTCACCACTTTTAACCTTCACTAAAATAATGCCTTTGAGCCATAACTCCTGAATACTAATTTTTCTCAGAAACCGCACTCAGTTTTAAAAAAGATTACGGACCGGAGTTCCAACATGCATCCATTGCGCAGCACATTGTCAATCACCGAATTATCGTATTTCCGACGCTAGCGTATGCGCGACTGTCAATCACCGAATTTTCGTATTTCCGATGCTAGCGTATGCGCGAAATTGCAGTTTGGTGTCGAATTGTATTTAATTAAATTATTACAGCACTGGGCATTAGTTGCAACATTAACTTAGTAAGCATAATTTTTCTCATTAACTTACAGTTTTTGATGACCAGTGTATATAATACTGTTGCCTGCGTACGGGTTCGTTGCGAAATGAATGCTGTTGCGCCTAATGAAAAATGAAGAAAATTTATTATTATCACAACAGATATGATTAAATGTCCTCAAATAATCGTGCAGTATCCCAATATATCACACTAGTTATCTTCTAACTACTCAAACGTTCAAGAGAACTTAATTCAAAACAGCTAAAGAAAGCTAATCCGCGAATTCGCTACAGTCCACAAGAGCAGTTTTCTAAGCAAAGTCTTAAAACAACAACAAACTAACTAATCAACGAATTGAGAGGTTTTCCTCCTATTTATAAGATTTTAAATCGCGCGCGAGAATTTTCTGGAACTTTCTCGAAATCAAAAAGAGATATTTATTTATTAAATGTTAAATGCACGCGCTCTTGTATTTAACGTTCCGGCTTAGCTTTCCGTGAATATTCGTCACGCGCTGCACTGCACGGGGAATAAAACAATTTAATTTATAATTCTACCAACATTAGCTATTTCAATGTCAAATTCGTAACAATACTGTATTTCCTCGTTTATTTACTTCCTTATTCTCCCCATCTGCAGTTTGATATAATCGTACACTGCCGTCCAAAAGTTAAGGAACAGCATGTTTTTTGTGTCTAATTTGAAAATGAAGCAACATAGAAAACAGAAATTTAGTGGACATGTTCACTAAACAGTTCCTTAATGAATACGACATAGAATGTTTCTAGAGTTCAACACAAACATGAATTACAACAAAATACTGCGCTCTTGGCAGAGGAATCCAGTCTAGGAGAAACAGTATATCACAGTTTTTGGAGGGAAAAATTGAGTGGTAACATTACAAAAATGGGTTCTAATAAGGAATGTGTCCACCCCAAGCTGCAATACATTGGCGGCAGCGACGTTCCATGCTGTCAATTAAGTTTTCGGTCAGTGAAATGAGAAGCAACGACCGGACACGGAGTAATCCTTGTTCAAGCGCATTTATCGACCTTGGAGGAGGACTTAAGGCAGACACCTGTCTCCCAAGATAGTCCAAAGATGCTCTATCCGATTCAGATCTGGGTATTGAGCCCTCGATACTGTGACCCCCAAGGTATTCTTCAGCAACCCGAGCTCGGTGAACTCGCGCATTGTCGCCCGTCAGAAAAACAATCCAGGACCAATAGGAGCGACATATGGGCGGACATATTGATCAAGGATCTCGTCTCGATATCTCACACCGGTCAAAGTTCCTCCATGGAACAAATGCAGGTCAGTGTGACCACCAAGAGAGATTCCAGCCCATACCGCTATTCCACCACCTCTGAAACTTTGTCTTTTCACAGTGTGGGGTTTGTCGTATCTGGTGCGTTTTCCCTCCAGATCAACTGACGACCTGTGTCACTGTCCAGTGTGAACCTGGACTCGTCTGTGAAGAGAAAAGACGCCCATTGTTGACTGGTTCACGAGACGTGTTCTCTTGCCCAACATAAACGGTCACCTCCTGCAGTACGTAACTCTGCCTGGAACATGTCTTCTTGACACAGAATCCTCGGATTCAAACTGATTCCATAGTCGGTGGCTAGTTCCCATAGTTCCACGAGAGACATTGAGACTCCTAGCAGCACCAGCTTGTGACATCCCCATTTCCGTTCATCCGATCTCCCGCCACCTGAAAGAATCGGGCAAGCGACTTCTCCTGGACATTGATAGACTCTCCTGGATATTATCAACGAAGCTGCTAATAACAATTGAAGATCAACACTCGTGGACAAATCTTACAATTTTTGAATTTTTTAACCAAATTAAAGTTAATTTATAGAAATTGAAGTATGAATTTCTATATATATTATATAAATTAAAGTATTAATTTATATAAAATAAAACTGGTAGCGATTATTGTTTCATATATTTTCTTAAGCAAGAGAGAGGAAGGAGTTAGTAGAAGCAGGCCGCTTGCCTTAGCAGTTTTTACTCGGTTGCTGGTTGCCTTCCAGGCCAGAGGTTTAATCCTCTGGATAATTTTAAACGTATTGTAGTGTTAACAGTGCTCTGTACTACATACGGCTCCCTGTTAATATATGGCCAATCTTCCACGTAGGCCCTTGTTTATTATTCCAAAGTTAAGTTAGAGTTTAGTTAATATTTTTATATTCTTACGTTCAGACCACAAGTGGTTGGTCTCTGTATTCCGAAGTCCGGAAATCTTTGTAAAGAGAGAAAAATATAGGGTTTCGTATACCCTTCCTGTGTGTCTTGTCTACTTCCCACATTTATTGAACATAGCTTTAGTAAGCTCCCTGTTCCGAGTCAGGTTCTTGAATGTTCCCCAAGCAAGTAAGGCGGAACATTGAACCTGATAATATATTATATAAATTAATTTTGTATGTAAATTAAAGTATTAATTTCTATAAAATAAAGGTGGTAGCAATTATTTTTGAATATATTTTCTTAAATTTCGTTACCATCATGCATATAAACTGTGAATTTTAATGTTACTGACATTTTTGTAATAGTGAGCTTTGAAAAATTTGGTGTACCTTTACTTTTGGAGGGCAGTGTATATAGTTTATTTATAAATACTTTTGGTTTTATAAGCACAGTAAGGAAACAACAAATGGAAAGTTTTTATGGATAAACTGCTGTTTGCACCATGCTACGGGGGGGGGAGTAAGTCGAAAATTATGTGGGAAAATACGTCTATGTTTCTTCTACAATAATATAAAATGTTGTTTTGAGGCAGTCATGTTTTGTTTACTTATACACTGTATTAGACAGACGGAAATGTTTCCTTTAAAAATAAAATCAAAGTTACCAGTTATTACGTGTAGATATTTTATTTTAGTTAACAGTTTTAATAAATAATACATTAAAAATCTTCTTGCTGTCTCAGGTTACAAAATTCACAAAATATTGAGTTGAAAACTTAACAGCATGCATTAGAAACGAATCATAACTTCATATTCTCTTGCTGTTGATTTCCTTAAGTTGATGCAGACTTTGCATGTCTGTAAAAAGGAAATAATGGAAAAAGGAAAGTGAATAAATAATACAAATTTCACTCTAACAAAAGCAAAGACAGATACATAGTGCATCTAGATAGTTATTGGACTGATTTTTTTCAACATTTACCAACAAACTTGATTAATAACAACTTTTATTACTGTAACATCTTATTATTATTATTTACGGGTTCTTGACTAAGGAACTACACGGAAGGGAGGGATGCCTTCTTGTAAGTCTTTCTAGGGGAAACTAGCTCGTATTAATATTGTTACGTTATTTTCTTCCTTTACGTTCGTACGGGGCTCGTAGATTTGGAGTGAATAACGACGACACTTGATGAAGTATCGAAACACACTTTATTTACCAATATCAATCAAGACAGCTCCAAAACACTTTTACAGTCAGCGAAGATCTGCTATAAACAGGCTGGAACAATCAGCGACACAGCCTTCAAACTGTCCGGCAATAACGGTGGAGACGGCTTCACTGAGAAGCACCAGAATACAGATTCCGACTCTGCTTGGTCGTTCTTGGAACTCCACGTACTCTCGAGACTCTCCACGCTACGACTCGCGATGCACAAGTGTATAGCTCTCGACTCAGCCCAGTCTAAGACGAAACTCGACGAAGCACTAATTCGCGATGCACTAAAAGACTCTCTGGATGCACTCGACGACGAACTCGACGCTAGAGTTCGAGACACTGGCTCAATGACTGACTATCAGCTCGCTAGACGAGGCACACACACTAACTGGCTGCGGAATAGCTTTTGGCTTGTGTTCGAGAACATTCTGGGCTAAACCGGTAAGAATTCATTCCAGAAGGTTCTCCATCCGTCCATGGTTTATCGCCAATTTTGTCGCCTAATGGGCGATTTTTCGCCAAATGTGACAACCCCGCTTTCCCTTGCCATGTTATGGCAACCCTAAAACTAGTTTGCGGGGAAACCATGTCATTGCGCCTATACATTTCGTAACAATATGTTACACATGAAGTATCGAAACCAATGAGGGAAAACACGAGAACGCCCATGTAACCAGCCCGTTCACGGGATTCGAACCTCTGAGAGAACTACCAGTGTTCATGTACTTTACCGCTCTGTCGTTGGTGGGTCTTTTATAACATCTTAACTTGTTTTTTTCTAACCGCCGAACCGAGATAGTGGTTAATGACACTGACTACCGTACCGAATGCTTTTTTGGGTTGGAATCTCCAAGAAATGTTACATTTGTAAATGTAAGTGTTTGCGCGGCATAGGGGAACTCTAAATATGCGGCGAGCCGAAAGTCCTCTCGAAATGTTGGTGGTAAGTGAAGAGATTCGGTATACTCTCAGACCCGTCTCCTCGCAATGTTCCCTTTCAGAACTGGTGACGGAAATTAGCTAAAGTTGAACTTTCTCCTATATTGGGCTCAAGGTTCTTGCCAACGACAGGCGCATTTGAACCCTTGTTTCAGTGAATGTTGAGGGCTTGTGCTGACTGTTGTCATACAAGTGAAAATGATAATAACAACTTGCCGTATCCAAAATGCTGTTTGCTTTCGTACAAAATTGTTTATGCATTTATTAGTTTGCTTTGAATCAGTAAACATGTGTTGTCATGCAAAGGTAAACTTAGCGAAGATTACCAAAATATATGCTGCAAATTAGAAATAACAGTAATTGTAGTATCCGAGACGCTAAATTAAGCATATGTTGTTCCAGAATGAATGTGTTCCAGAATGAATGCAATGCTTTTCACCGATACCGATCATTTCGTGTCGGAACATGGGGGAAGTATTGATGAGGAAATCATGGTTGGCTGGCGTTTGTAATCTCGAAGGCATTATTCACGCAATGGCTTTTCGGTCGTAATTTCACTCAGTGGCTTTGCGGTCGTAAGAGGTCTAAGCCGAGCCTTTTTTCTAGACAGTCAGACTATGCTACGTCACAGAAAATGGTCTGAGAATTTTGCTTAGAATTTCTAATTTTTCTGTTTTAGCTATAGGAACCTACCACAGCGAAGCAAACAGGAACTCCTATTCGGTCCACGGTTTCGTTGACGCAACTGCACGTTTACCTGCATGTTCCGACTTTCACTTTCCCTGTTTAATTACGGCTTATACCTTGTCACACAGGTGTGAACGACCATAAATCTTTCGTTTGAATGAATCTTGAAGTCAACTTCAAGCTTTCATTCGATGGAAAGCTTTATGGTTTAAGGCGGGAGCTGGGATTTAAGTTCTGTACTTTGGAGGCTCACCAAAGGCCCAAGGTACAGAACCTATTTGGGGGTTTTAGTTCTGTACCTTCGGTGCCCCTTATTTGGGGCTCACCATAGGGATAAGTGATAAGTAATAAATGGCGGATTACGTGGTCACTCTCCCTTTAGCATAGTACAGCACCGCACCCACCATTATCTAGAGAACATGATTAACATATGTAACTAGTATTACAAATAAAGTATGGTACAATGTATATACCAGGAGTAATTACATCTAGAAGAATAGGTATAAACTTATGTAAATATTTACAGATTGTTGTGAGTCCATACTACCTTCGCAAGGGATGCTATACCAGAGAGACATATTCATACGCATACTAAAAATGCGTGCACATATTATGTGACATGTAAGATAAAATATTACACTAGTTCAATAGAGAAATGCGGATGTAATACATAGAGCAAAGCGCAGTAATGGAATATATAGTCATGCGTATAAACATGCGATATAGTCAACTGCTAATAAATAATTTGGAAATTACTATATGGTGCGACTACTATATAAGAAGATATTGCAATGTTACAGTTGAAAAATTAATACAACGTTTACATATTTATGTGGTGGTTCTATTATGGCATGAAACGATGTACATAGCAGGAGTAATGACATCTCGGGGGTTGGGGCAAGATATAAACAATATAACATATTCAGATTGTTATGCGATCAGCCGACATTCGTAATAGTTATGTTATACCAGAGGTACGGATATATGTTGGACAGTTTGCATGACCTATATGACATTTGAAGAATACGGCTAAAGGATGCAATATAGTTACCATAAAAGTACAGGTTACAATATTACGTACAGACTGATTATAACAACGTTGTTCATGTGAACTACAACATAAAATACAATAAATACATATCTGGATCAACATGTTACTGATATTCTAGAGTAAATACATTCAAGGGTATAGTGTATGTAATGGCATTCAAGATACTATATACAAGATACAATAACACGCCAAAAAATATTAATTTAGAAGTCATATTTTCAAATTTTCACAGGACTAATTTCGATGGTTTTATCGAACCATCATTCTCAGCTGCAAAAGCGCAAATCTGTGAAAATTTGAAAATACACGGGTTGTCATAAATTAAGGAAAAATCATGAAAATCACGATTACTGAAAAATTTACATGTAGAATTTTATGAAACACACGCACAATATACAACACATAGTAAGATATCAACTAACTTAAAAAGAATTACCAGACAATTATGGTAGTATAGAAATTTGCACATGAATAAAATGAACAAATCGAAGATGTCAGTTTGCTATAGTAAAAATACCTTCAATATGGAATATAATTGCCTCTGGAAGCAATACAGCACATTCAGCGATGTGTGATGCTTTCAATTATGCGGTCTACCAGTTCCATAGGAAGTGGCAAATGGTTGTTCGCCTCGCATACAAGACCACCTTCGTGAAGCCTTCTACCCACAGTTGGCGTTGACGTGGCTGCAGCAAGGGAGAATCTAAGAAGAGTCGGAGTAGCGGTTCTATTCCTGCGTGCACATAATGTCAAATATCGGTCATCGGCGCTCGTCGTTGACCATCCTTGGCTTAACCTCCTAGATGCCGAATGTGTGGTTGAAATCGCCTTCAAAGTCTACGAACCATAGAAGGACTCACATTTAGCCATCTGGTTACTTCTATTTGACTATCCTGCCTTTAGTCTCCCAATGGCTTTCTATCGTAGTTCAGCTGGCAAGTGATGCCTGGAGGTCATTGTTACGAATTGGCTATCTCAGATTTCTGATGTCACTATCATATATTTGTTTATGCAACACACAATGTATATATTGTATAGTGAAATATGTGGGCTTGCTCTCAAACATGGACTTTTATGCTCCTTGCAGATAACGTATTTCGAGTGCAGCGCCACTAATTTGCATATTAGAATTTTACTCAGCTACTCTTACTTGGCAACATATTCAAATTTTACACGGTTTGGCTTATTGTTGAGGGAGTTATCGCTATTTTTGTGATTTTTCCTTAATTTATGATAACCAGTGTATAACGCTGATTTTTGTTGTTTGACTTTTAAATTACTACATACAGGTTATACAACACAGTATAATTACCATACGAACTACGAGTTAGAAGATTACTGAAAGATAAATTGTTACATTTCAACAGTATAAACAGTACATTTCAGTAGTAAGCGTGTATTTCAGTAGTAAAGCGCTCGAAATATCTTCTGGAGTGAGTACAAATCAATGCTAAAGACTGCTAAACATACCTATATAAAGACTATGTCATACGAGCTCCTACATATAAAATAGCGACAGTACTCGTCACAACGTTACCGGTAGATTAATCATACAGTGTTATTCTATCAAGGTGTGTTACATACTATATGCAGTATGGGTAGACAAAGTGCTAGAATCATTACATAAGATACTATTGTCATTTCAAATGAAAATACATTTGGGAAGAAGGATAAGAAATTCTTGCCAATACTATGTAAGACTAGGAGAATAAAGATAAGGTGCTATATACAATATATACACTGGGTGTTGCATAAACAAATATTGTTACAGTAGTAGAGTATTGGTATTTTACATAATATTGTAGCGAAAATTGCTCTTTTCGACCGAGCTCCTCATAGCTTAGGGAAGAAGACGCAGGACTCGAAACCCATGCAAAATGCCTGATAATTGGTTTTTAGGTAAATTTCCTTCTTGTTAATGTATCTTATTTATGTAAATTTCCTTCTTATTCTTCCAGAATA